CAATGACACCTGTAAAAACAAAATCGGTAAGTTTTGTTTCTGACCGTATATTCCATATTGGTTTTGGATTTTTCTAGATTATAGAAGCTGGTTCAGGAAGAAAGGAACATAAAGAGTCTGTACGTAATCTTATCGCTTTTTGTTGCATTATTGTCTATGGCACACGTCGTCAACTTGGTTTATATGTAACTTGGGGTGGTTGGAATAAAGTCGATTTATATTTATCAACGAATCTTAAAATGAATATTACTTCATCAGCAAGTGGTTTACATCGTTCATTGTTCAATACAGTTGTCCTTCTGATATAAAACCAATCGCTGAACATTTAACTGAACAACTACAGCAAATTAAATGAAAGAACAATTATCGTTATTCTTAATTTTTTGTGTATTACTTGTTGTTAAACTTGTCAGTCTTTTCTTCTCTCAATTTTATTTTCATTTCTATGTGTTTTGCTGTGTTCACTTGTCTAAACATTGAACGTATTTGATGATGTATATAAAATGCTCTACCTGTCACGTAATCAAATTAGACATTGTGATTATTCTTATTTCATTTGTAGAATGTTCTTGTTATGATTTCCATTCATAAATTTTCTCTAAATAAATACATATTTCCAAGGAAATAAGGAAGAAGACAATTTCTTCTCTGTTAATTTGAATTGCATGTTTTGGGAAAGTATTTCGAACTATTCGATTATCAGCAACTTAACATAGAGTACGTCAGGTCTGTCCTACTCTGGAAGAATGGGCTCTCCTTTTTTTTTAAAGCGCAACTGATAAATATTATTTTTTTTGTTCCGGTAATATGTTAGAATGCCGAAACATGAATATACTTGCGCTGAATGTCCATCATTCGTATCGTATCAATTAAAACGGTATGTTGATCACCTTAATAACACTCACGGGACTGCTAAAACAATTTATATATCATGTCCAATATGTAATTCTACGTTATGTAATACTCGTTCGTTTTCAAATCATGTGAGTCAACGGCATAAAGTAGATTTCAATGATGAAGATGATGATGCTAATAATAATAATAATAATAATAGTAATAATAATATAAATAATAATAATAACAATAATAATAATGACAACACGAATGACGAAGCAAACATGCAGTTCGATAATAATAATGAATCCCTTTCGGACAATGATAATTTAGCAAATGATCATGCGAATGTTAACGGAATAAATTCTGAAGAAAAAGAAAATTATCCAACAACATTATTAATAATGAAGCTCTTACACTTACTTTTAACGTTACAATCATTATACTATATATCTGAAGCTGCAATCACGTACATAGCTTTAAATATGGCTAACATTTTGGAATGGATTCTCCATCATGGCGAGGTAAATTGTTTAGGAACTGAAATTTTTAGAGCACAAGTGAGAAATACTGTTTTTTAGGCTGTTCAGGACTGTGTTACGTTTTTAAGACGTATGGGATCAAGCAACAATCGACTGAAGGCTGCTGAAACATATTTTGGTTACAGTAGTCCCAAAAATGATATGACACGAGTACGAGAAGAGATGTCTTATAATAAGTCTGTTATATGTTTTACTCTATATTTAGTTACTTAATCTTTCTGTTTAGATTGCATTGCCCAACAACAAGTTGGTCAACATCAAATGGAGTTACATGTCCTTTTTGGACAATCTGATCCAATTCGTGAAATTACCAGAAGTTCAAGATGACCTAGGTCGACCAGCACCATCAAATTATCCGGTGATGATGGATGTTACTGATGGCGAATTTGCCCGATTACATATCACAAATGCAATATCACATAAAGTTCATAAGTGTTTTTTTTTATACTGGACGTTGCTTAACCTACGACGTGAGCATCGATCTGGCCAAGTTGCCAAACGATTAGTAGCTGTTTGTGACTCAGC